TTTTACTTCTTTTCCAATGTGTATTCTTTTTATTTCTTTTTCTTCTCTGATTGCTGTGGCTAGGACTTCCAAAACTATGTTGAATAATAGTGGTGAGAGTGGACATCCTTGTCTTCTTCCTGATCTTAGAGGAAGTACTTTCAGTTTTTCAACATTGAGAATGATGTTTGCTGTAGGTTTGTCGTGTATGGCCTTTATTATATTGAGTTAGGTTCCTCTATGCCCATTTTCTGGAGAGCTTTTCTCATAAATGGGTGTTGAATTTTCTTAAAAGCTTTTTCTGCATCTATTGAGATGATCATATGGTTTTTTATTCTTTAATTTGTTAACATGGTGTTTGACACGGATTGATTTGTGTATATTAAAGAATCCTTGCATCCCTGGGATAAATCCCACTTGATAGTGCTGTATCATCCTTCTAATGCGTTTTTGGATTCTGTTTGCTAGTATTTTGTTGAGGATTTTTGCATGTATGTTCATCAGTGATATTGGTCTTTAGTTTTGTTTTTTTGTGATATCTTTGTCTGGTTTTGGTATCAGGGTGATGGTGGCTTTGTGGAATGAGCTTGGGAGTGTTCCTTCCTCTGCAATTTTTTGGAAGAGTTTGAGAAGGATGGGTGTTAGCTCTTCTCTAATGTTTGATAGAATTTGCCTGTGAAGCCATCTGGTCCTGGACTTTTGTTTGTTGGAAGATTTTAAATTACAGTTTCAATTTCATTACATGCGATTGGTAATTATGTTTTCTATTTCTTCCTGGTTCAGTCTTGGAAGGTTATACGTTTCTAACAATTTGTCCATTTCTTCCAGGTTGTCCAATTTATTGGCATATAGTTGCTTGTAGTAGTCTCTTATGATCCTTTGTATTTCTGCAGTGTCCACTGTAACTTCTCCTTTTTCATTTCTAATTTTGTTGATTTGAGTCCTCTCCCTCTTTTTCTTGATGAGTCTGGCTAAAGGTTTATCAATTTTGTTTAGCTTTTAGTTTTATTGATCTTTGCTATTGTTTTCTTTGTTTTTATTTCATTTATTTCTGCTCTGATATTTATGATTTATTTCCTTCTGCTAACTTTGGGTTTTGTTTGTTCTTCTTCCTCTAGTTCCTTTAGGTGTAAGGTTAGATTGTTTATTTGAGATTTTTCTTGTTTCTTGAGGTAGGCTTGTATAGCTATAAACTTCCCTCTTAGAACTGCTTTTGCTGCATTCCATAGGTTTTGGATCGTTGTGTTTTCATTGTCATTTGTCTCTAGTTATTTTTTCATTTCCTCTTTGATTTCTTCAGTGATCTCTTGGTTACCTAATAGTGTATTGTTTATCCTCCATGTGTTTGTATTTTTTAGTTTTTTCCCCTGTAATTGATTTCTAATCTCATAGCATTGTGGTTGGAAAAGATGCTTGAAATGATTTCAGTTTTCTTAAATTTATTGAGGCTTGATTTGTGACCTAAGATGTGATCTATCCTGGAGAATGTCCCATGTGCCCTTGAGAAGAAAGTGTATTCTGCCACTTTTGGGTGGAATGTCCTATAAATATCAATTAAATCTATCTGGTCTACTGTGTCATTTCAAGCTGTGTTTCCTTATTAACTTTCTGTCTGGATGATCTGTCCATTGGTGTAAATGAGGTGTTAAAGTCCCCCACTATTACTGTGTTACTGTCGATTTCCCCTTTTATGGCTGTTAGCATTTGCCTTATGTATTGAGGTGCTCCTATGTTGGGTGCATATTTATAATTGTTATATCTTCTTCTTTGATTGATCCCTTGATCATTATGTAGTGTCCTTCCTTGTCTCTCTCTTTTTTTTAAAGACTGGGAGCATTTTATTTTTATTATTTCCTTATTTATGGCTGAGTTGGGTCTTCTTTGCTGTGCATGGGCTTTTCTCTAGTTGCGGCGAGTGGGGGCTACTCTTCGTTGCGGTGTGCGGGCTTCTCATTGCGGTGGCTTCTCTTGTTGCGGAGCACAGGCTCTAGGCCCACAGGCTTCAGTAGTTGTGGCACGTGGGCTCAGTAGTTGTGGCTCACGGGCTCTAGAGTGCAGGCTCAGTAGTCGTGGCACACGAGCTTAGTTGCTCCACGGCATATGGAATCCTGCTGGACCAGGGCTTGAACCTGTGTTGCCTGCATTGGCAGGCAGATTCTTAACCACTGCGCCACCAGGGGAGTCCCCTTCCTTGTCTCTTGTAACATTCTTTATTTTAAAGTCTATTTTATCTGATAGGAGTAGTGCTGCTCCAGCTTTCTTTTGATTTCCATTTTCATGGAATATCTCTTTTTCCGTCCCCTCACTTTCAGTCTGTATGTGTCCCTAAGTCTGAAGTGGGTCTCTTGTAGACAGCATATATACGGGTCTTGTTTTTATATCCATTCAGCCAGCCTGTGTCTTTTGGTTGGAGCATTTAAATTTAAGGTAATTATTGATATGTATGTACATATTACCATTTTCTTAAGTGTTTTGGGTTTGTTTTTGTAGGTCCTTTTCTTCTCTTGTGTTTCCCAGTTAGAGAAGTTCCTTTAGTGTTTGTTGCACAGCTGGTTTTGTGGTGCTGAATTCTCTTAGCTTTTGCTTGTCTGTAAAGCTTTTGATTTCTCCATCAAATCTGAAGGAGATCCTTGCTGGGTAGCGTAATCTTGGTTGTAGGTTTTTCCCTTTCGTCAATTTAAACATATCCTTCCACTGCCTTCTGGCCTGCAGAGTTTCTGTTGAATAATCAGCTGATAACCTTATGGGGATTCCCTTGTATGTTATTTGTTGCTGCTTTTAATATTTTTTCTTTGAATTTAATTTCTGTTAGTATGATTAATATGTGTCTCAGTGTGTTTCTCCTGTATGGGACTCTCTGTGCTTCCTGGACTTGATTGACTGTTTCCTGTCCCATGTTAGGGAAGTTTTTGACTACAATCTCTTCAAATATTTTCTCAGACCCTTTCTCTTCTTCTTCTGGGACCCCTATAATTCTAATGTAGGTGCGTTTAATGTTGTCCCAGAGCTCTCTGAGACTGTCCTCAGTTCTTTTCATTCTTTTTTCTTAATTCTGCTCTGTGGCAGTTATTCCCACCATTCTATCTATCTTGCAGCTTACTTATCTGTTCTTCTGCCTCTGTTTTTCTGCTATTGATTCCTTCTAGAGTATCTTTAATTTCAGTTATTGTGTTGTTCATTACTGTTTGTTCTTTAGTCCTTCTAGGTCCTTGTTAAACGTGTTGTTTTTGTATTTTCTTCATTCTATTTCCAAGATTTTGGGTCATCTTTACTATCATTAGTCTGAATTCTTTTTCAGTTAGATTGCCTATTTCCTCTTCATTTATTTGGTCTTGTGGGTTTTTACCTTGCTCCTTCGTCTGCAACATATTTCTCTGTCTTCTCATTTTGTTTAACTTACTTTTGGGGGGTCTCCTTTCTGCAGGCTGCAGGGTCATAGTTCCTCTTGCTTCTGGTAAGTCCACTCACAGTGGGTGAGTATGGTCCAGTGGCTTGTGTAGGCTTCCTTGTGGACGGGACTTGTGCTTGCATTCTGGTGGGTGGAGTTGGATCTTGTCCCTCTGATGGGCAAGGCCGCATCAGTTGGTGTGTTTTGGGGTGTCTGTGAACTTAGTATGATTTTAGGCGGCCTCTCTGCTAATGGGTGGGGTTGTGTTCCTGTCTTGCTAGTTGTTTAGCGTGAGGCGTTCAGCACTGGAGCTTGCTGGCCGTTCAGTGGAGCTAGGTCTTGGTGTTGAGATGGAGACCTCTGGGAGGGCTCTCACCAGTGGATATTCCCTGGGGCCGGGAGTTCTCTGGTGGTCCAGTGTCCTGCTCTCGGCTCTTCCCACCTCAGAAGCTCAGGCTCGACCCCTGGCCACAGAACCAAGACCCCTGTTACATGGAGACTTTCTTGCCTTTCTGGAAGTCTGAGGTCTTCTGCCAGTGTTCAGTAGGTGTCCTGTAGGAGTTGTTCCACGTGTAGATGTATTTTTGATATATCTGTGAGGAGAAGGTGAGCTCCACGTCTTACTCCTCTATCACCTTCCTCATTCTCCACATTTTCTTAGGCAAGGTCTGTCCACCCAGAAGGGCCCTTTCTTTCCATTGGCACCCCATGCACATATTGTATTTTTGGTTCCTGAGACAAGGAAATGTATATCGTTGTGAAAGAAAACAGGTAATGGTTCCAAAACTAACTTTTTGGCCAGAACCAACCAGTGGCCCTGCAAAGTGGCTGGGTCTTGTGGCCCTAGTTAGGATAGAGGGATAAGGAAGCTTCTTCCTGGAGCCCCATCAGGGAAGGGCTCAAACCCAACCCATGCTGGCCAGATTGCAGCTTTCCCTGCTGGTACCTGGTAAGGTGCATGCCAGCAATGCACCAGTGCCCCTAAGCTCCCCACAGCCTCACCCAACCCTGCTGCCACTGGCATAAAGCTGCCCATTGGAAAGTTTTGTTTCAGTTTTCAGCCATAGCAGCTCCTCTGGTGTTCCCTCCTAGCCTGCCTAGTGTCCATCATTGACAGCTTTTACAGCAGGAAGGTGGGCAGGTTGATAACAGCCTTGTTCACAGGGGTCTCTAAAATGAGGTGGGGGCAGACTGAATCAGTGAGTCACGCATTTCATTCACTCAAGTTCCACCTTTGCAAATTTTTTTTTTATCTGTGAACTGCGTGTGCTTTTTATTTACCTAGAAATGACTCAGAGAGAGAAATTAGAGGTGTGTGGTGTATGTAACATGACTTGCTGGTGAGTGGTCAATTTTGTATGCTTTTCTGCTCCTGAGACCGATCTCCAGAGGGTGCCAAGGATAGCCAGGTTTCATTTATTTGTCCAAGTACAGGCATGATCAAGAGTGTTCTAAATAAGTCATGGTTTACAGCATAGATTGTAGAATTTCCTCTGATTATTTGATTGGGTCACATGAATTTAAAGTTCAATTGAAGCTTCACTTTCAAAGTTTCCTCTCCTTTTCTCTGAATATGCCAGAGCATGATGACAAGAGTATCACAGATTCCTAAAAATCCACCCAAACAAGCATATCTCAATACATTATGGTTTATTCACCTTAAGAAGAATCTAGAATACAGTATCAACAAGGATATTGGAACATGGTTTGGGATGGGAGACAGAGTTATGCCCAGTTGTGTTCTGGACCACTGATATAGATGATTCTCACTTCATTTTAGAGTTTCTATAATTGTAGCAATTATCTCTGAAAGATTTTTGTCCACACTGATTTGAATGAAATTTTCTGGAGCTGATGGGGGCTCCAAAGTATCAAACTGGGACTGCAATAACTCAGGGGACATAAAATGCCCTTTTCTTTTGAGTAAGCGTCCAGAGATGACCTCGAACGACCCAGTCAGATGGACCACAAGGAGCTTCACTTCAGCCAGCTTTTCTTCTTTTCCTGACTCATCACACTTCAGAGGTGCACCATTTTTTCCTTGTATTAAGATGTCTCTGTATACTTTCTTCAGAGCTGAACAGGCAAGAATTACATGCTGTCCAGAGGCTACATCTCTGTTAAAAAAAAATAAAGTGTGTGGGGGGAAGATGAGCGCCAGAGTGAAGACATTTAAAATAATTGGTGTCAAGTCTAGGTTGAGGACTAGAGTCCCACTTCTCTGACAGTGGAAGGTGTTACAGATGGTGGCCAAGTGTCAGGCAGTCCTGGCTTTGAGATAGAGATCTTCCACTAGTGGGGCATCTTGGGTAACATACTTACCTCCCCGAGCGTGAGTGCATCGTCTGCTAAATGCAGCTGCTCAGAGTACCTGCCCATAGAACTGTGATGCGTAAGTTCAGCAAGGTGCCCAGCACACAGGAAATGCTTGGTAAATACTGGCTCTGCCCCTTGGATGTAGGATGTGACTGAGCCACCACTTGTAGACATGGGCGGCTGCCGGCAGGCACCTGTGCCCCCCACACAGCACAGCTCAGGCTCTCCTCCCTCAGGTATTCAGGGATTTGAATTTCACAACTGGCTTCTCTCCATTCCTACTCTCCAGTATGCTGGGAGTCTGGGGAAGTTACCAGTGCAGAGCTAGAGAGAGCAGGAGAAAAGGGAGCATCAGCCCCTGTGGGGTCAAGGTGAGAAGGATGTGAGAAGTTTCCAGGGCTGTGCTAAGGAAAAAAAAAAAAAACTGAGCCAGAAATAGAGGTAGAGTGACAAGGCACCAATAAGGGAAAACCAGTGTGGTTCAAGACCATACATGAGGGTGAGCCCCCTTTCCACTAAACCTACATGTACCAGCCAGAAGAGGCAGTCATCTTGGGGCCAGGAAGGAACTGTAAAAAGAGGTGAAGGGTCAAAGCTGGCTTGGGTACTTAGAAATTTCAGTTCAGAACTGAGAATTCTGAAGGGGCCTGCCTTGATTCATGGCCACTGTAGACTGGAGACCCAGTGGATGGAGTGTGTCATCAGCAACAAACCTATGTACCTGAGCCTTCTGGCTCTTCCCAAGGGCCATGAGTGAGAGCTTGTTTATTCTGAGCCTGGAAGTCTGATCTCTATTCTCCTGAGGATCTTCACTTCTGCTTCCATCACAGGTCAGTATGTTAGATCTCTGACAAGTCTATTTATGTTAGAGACCCAAGTGGGCAGGAGTTCTCAACTCCAAACCTTAAACCCCTAAGCCCATGCAAAGACAGGGCTGCCAGCCATGTCTGTGCAGTCTAAAAAAAGTAAACTGAGTTTTAATCATAAGTATACTCTAATTTCATATGGCCCACATGATTTTAGATTTATAAAACATGACTTCATCTGAGACAGCAAGATTTAGAACCTATTCCCTGCCACCTCTTTATCTTCCGTGTCCCAACCAGGATTCCCAGGGGTCTGGCCCACAGATGGGTTGGGGAGGACCTCGTTTGCTCAGAGGCATGCTACAGAGCTGAACAATTTGAGTCTTCAATCCTGGTGGCCAGTTATCTGTTGACTTATGAATGACCCCAGATCTTCCTGGTTGTCAGAGTTTGAAGTAGGAGGCAATAAAAGTGGTGGCTAAGGTATAGCTATACGTCATTATTATTTTTTTTAGCACTTACTATATATATTAGGTACTGTTCTAAGTGCTACCCATGCTTCATCTCACTAATTCCTCACAACAGTCTGTGAGTAGGAACTATATTTATCCCCATTTTCAGATGAAGAAACAGGTTTATGGAAGCCAAGTGGCTGACCAAGATTCCCAGCTAGTAATTGTGGAGTTGTTTAGAAGGCTGACTCCAGAACCCAACTAAACTACACATCTGTGGCTGATTAAAATCATTGTTGGTTACTTGATAGAGGTGCATTTCATTTCTGGGATGCCATATCAGCAGTCAGTTGTGATTTCAATAGTGTATTTTTTCCCCTGTACTTTGTAATCGGTTTTCTTTACTCACTGGCTTACCTGGCGCCTGATTTTCTCTTACCTTTGTAAAATGTCATGCAAGTTGCAGAGCCATGGAATCCTGTCCTGAAATGAAGGCAGACACAAAGTGGCTTTTCCAGGTTTTGTTCGTTTTTACAGAAAGTTAATCATTTTCATCAATGTTAAGGTCCAGAGAGATCTTAGTGGTTTTGAGGAGTAGGCCATGCACAAGGCTGAGGGGTCAAGTCACTAGGCAGTTCAGCACAGAAGCATTTTCCTGGTCCAGGTGTCAGAGGCTCTTTTCATAATAATAAAAATTGCCCTAAAATACCAGTATGTAACTTCCACCATCTTTTTTTTTTCTTTTTCTTTTTTTTTGTGGTACGCAGGCCTCTCACTGTTGTGGCCTCTCCCGTTGCGGAGCACAGGCTCCGGACATGCAGGCTCAGCGGCCATGGCTCACGGGCCCAGCTGCTCTGCGGCACGTGGGATCCTCCCGGACCGGGGCACGAACCCGCATCCCCTGCATCGGCAGGCAGGCTCTCAACCACTGTGCCACCAGGGAAGCCCAACTTCCACCATCTTAATCTTCCCATTGTAAGTATATTTTCTCTGGTTCTGATATGTATATAAATCTTTTATTATACTGCATGATTCTTTAGGTGCCTCTGATCTCAAATGCAGAGAGGTATTCACAGAAACCCTATGTCAGCTGCTCTCTGGCCCTATTCTTCAAATCCTCCAGAAGCAAAGCTCTACTCAGATATAAGCAGTGTGAGAATTTTGTATTTCTCCAGAGAAGGCAGAGGAAGTTTACATAGGGCACCCTACAGTGTTTCACAAAGGAATCCTCCTAGGGTAAATACTGATTGGTCATAATGCATTTAAAGAAAAACATAATTTTTTATTATGGAAATTTTAAACATATTCAATGATTTTCAACTCACAGTCTGATTTTATATATGTCCCAGCCATATCCTTACCTGTGCCCTCATCCTTTATCATTTTGATGCATATTCAAGAAACATGATGTGTCTTTAAAAGTCATTGCTCTTAAACATTTGATTACTACCATTTTATTTAGGATTTTTGCATTTGTATAATTGAGATTGACCTGCATTTGTTTTCTTGTATAGTCCATGTTAAATTTTGGTATCAAGGTTATACTAGCCTCATAAAATAAGTAGGGCAGCTTTCCCTCTTTTTCTGTTCTTTGAAACAGCTTGTATACAATATATTATTGTTATGAACTGAATGTTTTTATTTCCCCAAAATTCATACCCCCTAATGTAATGATATTTGGAGTTAATTAGGTTTAGATGAGGTCATGAGGGTGGGGTCCTCATGATGGGATTAGTGTCCTTTTGAGAAGAGACCAGTGAGCTAGTGTGTACTCTTTCTCTCCTTCCACTGCCCTCCCCCTCAATCACCCAGTGAGGATACAGTAAGAAGGCAGCCATCTACAAGCCAGGAAGAGAAACTCCAGGCTCAGAATAAACAAGAACCTGACCATGCTGGCATCTTGCTCTTGGACCCTCACCCTCCAGAACTGTGAGAAATAAGTGTCTATTGTTTAAGCCACCCCGTCTGTGATATTTTGTTACAGCAGCCTGAGCTAAAACTCATCTTATAAACTCTGTGCCTGGGGCTTTTTTTTTGGAAAGATCTCTGATTACAGGTTCAATTTCTTGAATGAGCATTGTGTTATATTCAGATTTTTCTATTCTTGATTCAGTTTTGGTAACTGAAATACTTTAGAATCAGCAAGGTCACGTTTTCATTGGCAGGTGGGGGGGGAGTAGACTGTGTCCCTGAGCACTGTCTCTGCCATCAGATCACTGTCATCCAAGCCTGTTTTCCCACAGTAATTTATATTTTTCTATGAAAGTGTCCAATTTTATCTAAGTCTTAAAATTCACTGGTATCAGATTTTTCATGGCCTCTTTTCATTCCTAGTCTTAATTGTGCTTCTTTTCCCCCTTGATCAATCTTGCCAGAGATTTGTCTGTTTTTATCTTTTCAAACAATTCGTTTCACTCATCACCTATATGGCTTCTTTATTTTATATTCCATTAATTTCAGCACTTATTTCTATATTTTTCTACATTCTTCCTTTTTATTATTTTTTTTCTACTTAAACCCTTAGATCATCATTTTCATTTTTGTTATTTTTCCAAAAGTGCATTCAGAGGCTGTAAATTTCCTTCTAAGTACTCTTTCAGCTATATCCCATAAGTTTTAGTTGATAGCACTTTTGTCATACATTTCCAAATATCTTATAATTTCCATTATGATTTTTAACCTATGAATTTAAATGAATGTCAATTTTTATTTTTCAATTTTACTTATTTCTACAGTTTCCAACCATTTTATGATTTGTGAGAATTTTTATTATTGATTTCTAATTCTTGTGCATTATGATAAAAAATGTGATTGATTGGTATGATATTGACTCTTTAGAATTTGTGGCAAATTGTGCCATATAGCACTAGTACTATGTGGTCTAGTATATGGTCAGTATTTATAAATGTTCCATATGTACTTGAAAAGAATGTTTATTTTTTATTCATGCTTTTCAATATATTTGTTGTTTAAATCTTCTATATCTTTACTAATTTTTCTTGTCTGTTTTGTGTATCTTTTGTCTGTTTTGATGTTTTCAAGAGAGTTGTTTTAAATTCTCCCATAGATTAAGAATTGACAGTTTTCCCTTCTGTCTTTGTGTGTCTGAAAACGTCTTCTGCTCTTACTCTTACTCATTTTAAATAAGATTTCAGTTGGTAAAGAATTCTTGGTTGACAGTTATTTTCCCTCAGCAGTTTGAATACTTAGTCCCTGTCTTTAGGGCTCTATTGTTGTTGAGAAGTATCTCTTGTTAGGGCTCTATTGTTGTTGAGAAGTATCTCTTGTTATATTGGGCAATCATTCAGAACATATATTTTCTCTTTGGTAGCTATAGGTAGAAAATAAACCTCTTTGTCCTTGATGTTTTGCAGTTTTACTATTTATCCTGTTCAGGACTCATTTTATATATTCAGTCTAAGGAAACTGTTAATATTATCTCTTTGAATATTGCCTTTCCCCCACTTATTCTGTTCTCCTTGGATTCCTTTTAGCTGTATGTGAAACATTTTATTATACCAGTCTCTTAATTTTTCTCGAATATTTTTCTAGTTATCTAGCTCTTTTATTCACTCTGGGTAATATCCTCTAGTCTGCCTTCTAATTCACTAGTTCTCTCTTCAGCTGTGTCTAGTTTATTGTTTAATCCATCTATTGATAATGAAACATTATCAATAAATTTTCTGTTTCTTTCATTTGATTCTTTTAAAAAAATTATAGTTGATTTGCAATATTATATTATTTCATTTGATTCTGTTTCTTGGAGTATGACTTATTCCATTTGTGCTTTTTTGCTGATTCTCTCTCACAGTGGTTCATTTACCTGTATGGTTTGTACTTTTTGACTGCAGGTGCATCTTCAGATTTTTTTTCCCTTGTAGGAGTGCTGAGTTTTGGAAACATTTCCATAGGTAGTTTTGCCAATTCCAGACTAGCATTACATTAATTTTTCAACTTGGTCTATGTCATATGAAGTGAATTGGGCATAGGAAAGTCTCTAGTTTTCCACCTGTGGTCCAGGGGAGACAGCCAGATTCTTTGCTGCTTCTTGAATCTAGTGAGTGGAGATATTTGTAATCCTCACTCAAATAAAGTCTTCCTTTAAATACTTTATGCAAGTCCTCGCACTTAGTTTCAGGTCCAGCTCCATGCATCATATAGGCCTCATCTCCCATCTCTACAGGGGCATCAGAATCTCAGTTCCCAGCCTCCTGGCTTACATGCATTTCCAAAACTTGGGGGAAGAGGTTATTTAGGTTTAATTAAATCTTGCCACTTTGATTCTGGCACCTGAGAATTTCTCATTTTGCTTCTGACCTTGGTTAAGCCCTTGGCTATGCCCCCCCCCCCCCCCCCCTCTTTTCCCCCAGCCTCCCTTCAAGTTCTCCAGCTCTGGGTGAGCTCCTTTAGTTCCTGAATATCTCCCCTTGGCTCAGGCTTTCCCATTTCTTATTCAGAGTAACTAAATACTCAGTAAGTGAAACGTTCATTCCACCAAGGCCTTCACTCTATACTCAGCAAACTAAAGACCCTCCCGTTACTAGGACCCACCCTTTTCAGGAAGCAGAAGATTTTACACATACACACACACACTCTCACACACAACACACACACGTATATTTAATTTTTTCATATTAAATAAAATTTTTGAAAAGCATGTGTGCTAATATTGGGTTGAGGTTCCTGGAAGTTTTACTAGTGATAGAATTTTTTAAGACTTTACCTCTATGGGGACTTCCCCGATGGCGCAGTGGTTAAGAACCCGCCTGCCAATGCAGGGGACACAGGTTCGATCCCTGGTCCGGGAAGATTCCACATGCCGCAGAGCAACTAAGCCTGTGCGCCACAACTACTGAGCCTGCTTTCTAGAGCCTGTGAGCCACAACTACTGAGCCCACGTGCCACAACTACTGAAGCCTGCGTGCCTGGAGCCCGTGCTCGCAATAAAGAGTAGCCCCCGCTTGCTGCAACTAGAGAAAGCCCGTGCGCAGCAATGAAGACCCAACGCAGCCAAAAATAATAATAATTAAAAAAAAAAAAGACTTCACCTCTGTGTACACACTAGTCGACCAGAGACCACTTAGAAGTACAAATGCAACAGTTACAAAATCCACACAAGACACAGATCAAATGACGACTATCACCTAACTTACACAAATAATAAAACAACAGCTATTAATACATAATTCACAGAAATTATTACTCAAGTTACAACAGCTACTACAATGTGCACACATTGTAGCTCAAATGTATTTAATGAATGAAACATTTGTTTATGTTAGCACTTGTCTGACTGTAGTCAGTAGAACCATTGTGGTTATTTCTAAACAAAGTAACAAGATAATGAGGCTTACCAGCTCCAGATTTGCAGAACACAAAGAACTCTGTGCTTTATGAGGAGACCTATGTGCCCTTGGAAAAGAGTGTATATGTTTAAGGTTTATTATTGGCAAGGTTTTCTAAGACATCATACTCAAAAACTA